GAAGTCAAATGATTGGAAATTTGTTATGGAGGTTAATCTAGTGTCATCTGCAGGCAGATAAGGTTCTAAAACTGTCTTCTGGATCAGCTTTTGTCCTTTCTGTTAGAGAGGAAAGGAGGAAAGTTTTGTAAATTTATATCCTACTTTTAGGTAAATGGGGTGGGGGTGGGGGCAGAGTTTTTCCTGTATCTGTTTCTTGTCAATTGCCCACAACTCAAAATAATCAGTGGGATTTTGCCTTGCTATTTTACCTGTAAATATATTGTACTTCGATCAATGTAATCTCCTTTATTACTCTTCCTTACCCTTTCCCCCCTACCCTGTATTGTTCAACAGTTTTCAGAGTGTTTCTTTGTGTCTTGTTCCTAAATAGTTATAATGTATTTCTATTTTATTCACTCTCTTTCATTCTTCCTTTCCTCTTCCCTTAGTCTCCTCTAACAGTACCACTTTTAAAAAGATGTTCTGTGTGTGTGTGTGTGTGTGTGTGCATGTATGTATATGATAATGCTTGTATTTTTTAATCAATTTTTGTTTCTGGTTGCGTACTTTCTGCTACATTATGGTAGGGCTATATTTCAGCCTTTTCTCCACTTACATGGAGGCCATGTTGCATAGAAAGCAAGCTTGAAAGCTTCTAGTATAAAGATTTTTCTTATGGCATAAAGATATATCATGCTTTTATGAGCTCTTAAAAATTTTTACTACTGTGTGCTTGTATTTTAGATTGGAGAATTAATATATATCATAGAAGGAAAAGGTCTGATCCCTTTGCCTTCTAATTTCCTTCCAACAAAGCCTTCATTGCCAATTGACTACAGCAGTTCTCCAGAAGAAGGTATATACATACATTTTATTTAATTTACAATATTTAAAGATAGGACTATTACTTGCATAGTCATGAACATTTCATCATAGGTTCTCTGGTATTTAATTAGATTTTAGAAGTCCCTCTTTTAACTCTATGATGTTGGTATCCATAAAATATAGCACCATTTTACCAATATAAACCATCAATGGTGATCCCCTTTTAAAGCTTTTCTTCAGTCTTCAGATAAATACTGGAATTTGGCATACAAAATATTACTCAGAAAAACTCTCCATTTCTCAAAAATCCATGTTATTATATAACCTAGAAGTCTACCCTGCCCTCTTGTTCTTGTTATTAGCACTGAAAGAATTAGACATTTAGATACAAGATTATTAATGATAGAAAATGACCTTTCTTGCCAGTCATTGATAGGTATCTTTTTATGTTTATTTCTGTATCCCCTGCCTTCTTGATACTGATTAGAACAAAAAGGCCACTAATTTTTAAAAATATATTAGTGATGTTTTTATGAAAGAACCACTTGACTACAACTCATCTTGGAGAATGCCAACAAAATATCTTTAATTCGTAATGACACACTCTTGAATCACTGAATTAGAACTAAAAAAATATGTTATTAATTTATTTTTATCCTGTTTAATTAAGACAATAACTGCAGTTTCATATTTCAAACCTTACAAATCCACACCGTATAACAGTGCTAAGGGCATAAGTGTTCATTGCATTCATGAATATTTTTGCTTTCCCTAGAGTATAAAGAAGATCCAGTTCTGTATTTGAACTGCAAAATCAATGAAGTCCTAAATGTAGACCTTAAATTGTCACTGACCAATGAAGCCAAGGAAAAGGCATTGGCTTTTGCAGCACAACAGCAAATGTCCACTCTTGAGTATGAGCGAAGATCAATCACAGGCACTCTGGATAGCAGTAGCATCCGAGTGGCAATTGCCCTCCTGGGACTAACCAAGGTTGAGGTAGGAATAGAAAGCACATGATGTCTCCAATTACTCTTAAAAATATACAGAGCTATATCATTACTTAATTATAATATTTTACACAGAAAAGTATGATACTCTTTTTCACTAGAAATATAGATCAGTAGTGTTTTTTAAAACCTCATTAAATAATAGCATCTGAAACCATGCTTTCTTCTGTGTGATTTTACACAGTACAGTGTACTCTTTAATTCAAAGAAATCTATCGATTCTGGCTGCATATTACAATGCTCTATAGATCTTAAAAATAACACCAGTAACCAGGCTCCACTCCAGAACAATTTAACTCAAATATCTGGAAGGGAGTGAATAGGGACATGTTCTATAAGTTACCCAAGATGTTTTGCCATATATCCAGAGGGAATCGTGTCTGGTAACATATTGCAAGATTGAGAATCCAAACTCTAATGCTGTCTAGCTCTGTGACTATGGGCTGTTTACTGAAATGTACTCAAGCCTCCATTCATTGTATTTTTAATATAGTAATATTAGTAATTTATGAAAAATATAATAATTATATAACATTATTTGGTATATAATAACTGTTTATACATACTATTGTGATTATTGTTATGATGATTTTCACTAATAGTACTGCTATTACTATAGACTCTATTATTATACCTTGAAATAAGTTACAATCTATCCTCAATGAGCAGCCCAAGTGATTAATCAAAATGCAATCATAATCATGTTGCTCCTCTGTGCAGACTCCTCTACTAACTTTCCAGCTCTGGTCAAATACAAGCCAGTATACTTAGGATGGTGTACATGACCCTCCTAGTCAGTCCCACCTCCTCCCCTCATCTCAGCTTCTTCACCGAAGTCCATTTACTCTTGGAACCCACTCAGCACAGGCCCCCTTGCTGTTCTTCATACATGGCCAGGCATACTCTCCAGGGCCTTAGAACTTCCCTTGTTACTTTCCCCCTGATATCAGAGGGATGCCTCCCTCAATTACTTCAGACCTCTGTTAAAATTCTCTGAGTGAGGCTCTGCTCTCCAACTTACATATATTTTATACAATGTTCCATCCTTGTTGCTTGTTGCTCAAGGTTTACCTTCATGTATACACATAAATATATATGCATATATGGATTATGTAAATTATTTCTTTTAATAAAAGAATGGGTGCTAGAATCCATGCAGCCTAACCACAGATTTCTAACAATTTATTTTAAAAATGACTTGATTTTAAATTTTTGATTAGGTCAAAAGTATTAAAGCCTGAGACTCTGATGTCCTGTGGATTAACCCATCCCTACTATGTTTTTCAAGAAGCTGATGGTTCTCTTCAGCTTCAACTAAAATACTTACTTCTTCTACAGAGCAGTAAATTTGGGAAGGCTTATGTTTACCTGTCAGTAAACAATAAAAAATTTCAGTTTCAACTTTTAGTCTAGCGCAGTGCTTTCTCCCTTTTTAACATTTTTCAATTTATGCTTTTCTTTATTACCTCTTTTCAAAAGAATGTATTTAAATAAAAAGTGGTTGTAGGAGGTGGTTGTGCATGATATTCCTTTCCATTATATATGTATTTATATACATATATTTGAATATACTTGCAAATAGTCTCTGTCTTTCTACTTCTCTTTTTCTTTCTTCCTAGAACCTGGCATATATTTTGTATTTATTATTGCATTTAATCAATTATGCTTTATATGGTATTTGCTTTTATGCTTACCTTTTTCTCCTGTCAGATTGTGAATTCCTAGAAATATAAATTTTTAATGTATTTTGTCTATTCCTTGACATAAAATGAATGGTATATATTCTACCATTTTTAACTGAATTTAAAATGTCACTTGTATCCTGTTTCACTTATACTGGGAAAGCTGGGTTTATCTTGACTGTCCTATTTTCAGAAGGTCCTATTTTCTACAGGAGTATATGCATGTTAACAAGATGTTATAACCCATTTTTTTAAAGGAACTGAAAATATCAAACCAAGAAGTTTTGGACATCTGCAGAGGGTATAACTTAGTTGCTTTTATGTATTTACAAAAGTAACAGTGAAAAAGGAGGGCTCAGTTTCCACTGCTAATAAGAACTATATCTGTAAACTATACAACATATATTAAAAAAAAGAACTATATCTGAACCCTGTGTGGTGGCATATACCTGTCATCCCAGCACCTGGTAGGCTAAGACAAGAGGATTGAGAGGTTGAGGCTAGCCTAGACCACACAACAAGAATCTCTCTCAAAAATTAAGAAACAAACAAACAAATATAACAAAACAAAATGAATTTTAAAAAACAAACAAAAATGCCTAATAGATATAAAGGAGCATAGGTTTCAAATCAAGGAGGAAAGAAATTTTCAGTGATATTCACTAGTAGAATGGTTCCCTCATAATGCAATTAGTTAACATTGAAAACATTAGAATGGGAAACATTGACCATCTCTTAATAAAGGATGACTCCATTGGTTCTTTAGAATGTGTTAGTGCTGTCTTCTACCATGCCTCTAAAGAAATAAACAAATTCATTCCTTTGGTGCATTTTCCCCAAGTGTGTTGTCTAAGTACATAATGCTATCTTCTGTTTTGGTGGTAAAAATTAGAATTACATTCCTACTTTACCATTTATTTGCAGTGTCTTATGCTGTTTAATATGTCAAAGTTAAAGAAGCCTAAATCTATTTCATATACAACAGAGCTAAGCCTCCCAGAACATTTTGATCTCCCAAAGAAAATCTACATACCTCAGATTCCAGATAATCAAGCTAATAAATTGATTCTATCGCAGGAGATTAAACTTTCTAATAAGACAGGTAATTAGCAATATTTTGATTAGAAAATATAGCACCGTTAACAGTAAAATCATATCAGAAGAGAACAATGTATCATTTATCAGTAATTTATATTTGATCGGAACCAGGTCTTGTATATTTGATGTTGGTTTCCTGGTGCCCCTTTATTCTCTTGCCATGATCAAGAAGTTATAAGCAAGATTTAATATGAATATTGATACGCTGACATTATTAGATGCAGAGAATGTGACTAAATATTTTAGCTACTTAATTAACTTTCTTTTTTATCTTAGTTGCTGTCAAGTTGCTAGATAATAATAGCAATGTAATTTTTTCACTAGGGATATTCCTAGAATGTACCATAATTCTAGTGTCATGGATTCCATATTATGTTTTTAATAAATTTGGTCGTACTGAAGATATTCTGTTTTCTTTTTACTCTGCAATGGATTTTTATTAACTATGATAGATGTTTCTAAGTATGAAAGAGTGGTCACAAATTGCAAATTAAAGGAAAATTCATTCACTTTACCTTCCTAGGAGATGCAAGATGCTGGAAGAAAATGTCACATGTCCATCCAGGTAACAAGAATTTAAGATTTAGGTCTTGTCTAAGACAATAGAGATGACAGACCCTATAGTGAACTGGGGGGGGTAGATGCCATTTCTAAAAAATATTCAAATTAAAAAAATAAAAATAAAGTCCTGAAGCAGTGAAACAACTATGAGGACAAATTTGGCTTACCAGAAGTAAGTTTTGGGCCCCCTCATCTTAAGTTATCCTTTTATCTTTATTAACCGCAACTTTCCAATGTGCTATCCAAATTTTAGATGTGTAAATTATTCTGATAACTTTTTAATCCCTGATAAAGCTGATGCTATTTTAAAGCACTGCTAAAATTGTCTATCCATGTTATTTATTTATTTATGCATTCACTGGACACTATAGAGCAAAGTGACAAAAACTGCCTTATTCTTCTATTTGGAGGACTCACAGATAAGAAACTTTTATAGGAAAATTATAAAAAAAAATTATAGCTGCCAAAGAGATTTCAGATATAGACTCAAAAGGGAGAAAGCTTCAAGCAATAGGTTCAGATTTCTAGAATAAGAGACAGGGAAATATACGATCCACCATATTAACTGATGACATTATGTCATTTGTTTTGACTTGGTCCCACTTGGAATAGTTTCAGTTTTGCTAATCTGGGAGAGGAATGCTGAGGCACATCTTGGTAGAAATAACACAGACTTACTCTTTTTGACTAAGCTTTAGTAGATTTCCTTAAATAAACAATGGAACATTTCCTATATTCTTTTAGAACCACTTTCAGATATATTAAATGTTCCCATTTTTACTTCTTAGAATTTTCTCAATTTTGTTGGGGAGTCAGTCCATAGGGATCTTCCATGTTATAATTATGGAAGTGGAACTCTTTTCTTTTTTGAAACCACATCTCTGATAGCCAGTATCATTTTCTCAGAAGCAGTTTACCGAATTTTTGGTTATTTTTATACAATGATATAAAACATATTAGTAGCTCCATTTATTCATAGCAATCAACATGATGAGATTATGAGGATGATTTTAATAATCTTGGAATATATGTCAAAATATGAATTATTCTGCAAGTTAACCTTTTATCTTAGTTTACTGAGGTCATCATTCTATAACTCAACTGGAAATTCTTGTTTTCTCAATCTTTTGTAATTCAGTTTATACCCATTCATATTACTTGAAATTATATATGAAGTCATAAACATCGAAATCTTAAATTATACATTTAAGAGGTCCTTAAAAGACCCTCAATTTGTGTGTATCTGGCCATGTGCAATTGATGTTTTAGAAGACAGGATCAACTATTATAAAATATCCAGTATATAAATTAAATATATGTAAAGCTTTTGTTTAAAACTGGAGAAAATACTGTAGGATTCCATCTGCTTATGTTTTCATCTCCTGCTGATGGCATCCCCAGCAGCAGTTCATGAAGCAGACTCCCATGAATCTGATGAATAGATTGAAAATATCTACATCTACAAGGAAATTAAAACACAGAAAGGTTAAATATCTAGAAAATATATCTTCAGCTTATTTGATGAAAGGTGCTAGATGATGGGAAGTTCCATTCACTTTGTATTTGTTGAGATTTTCTATGTGTAGGCCGTGTTTAGGCACCAGGGATAAAGCAGTGAACACAGTATAGAAGGTCCCTGACTTTTGAGAAATTTGTTATGGAAGGATATCCCCAGCCATCCTTGAGTCATGTGCTTTTCTTTTTTTTTTTCTTTTATTATTCATATGTGCATACAAGGCTTGGGTCATTTCTCCCCCCTGCCCCCACCCCCTCCCTTACCACCCACTCCGCCCCCTCCCACTCCCCCCACCCCCTCAATACCCAGCAGAAACTATTTTGACCTTATTTCTAATTTTGTTGTAGAGAGAGTATAAGCAATAATAGGAAGGAACAAGGGTTTTTGCTGGTTGAGATAAGGATAGCTGTAACAGGGCATTGACTCACATTGATTTCCTGTGCGTGTGTGTTACCTTCTAGGTTAATTCTTTTTGATCTAACCTTTTCTCTAGCTCCTGGTCCCCTTTTCCTATTGGCCTCAGTTGCTTTTAAGGTATCTGCTTTAGTTTCTCTGCATTGAGGGCAACAAATGCTATCTAGTTTTTTAGGTGCTTTTCAATAGTATTTTCGATATTGGTTTCCACTCTGCTGTGGTTCATTCTTTCATTCCATTTTGTGACTCAAGTATTACTTTTCTGGGTAATTAACCAGTTAGATGCCCTCCAAATGGCCATACATATAGAAATATGACTAGCTATATGAGAATTTCCCCAATTTTGACTTCAATAATATTGTTTCAATAAAAAGTGGTTCAGCCTTTGGTTTTCAATTTGGAATGGTATAACAATTGTTAGTGACTATTTTGACCTGTGAACTGAAGTTCTTTGAAGAAGCCACATCTGTGTTGAAGATCCTGCAGACTGATTATCAATTCATGATTATGAAGAAATGGAGTGTTACAGATCGAGAGCCAAGATTATTGTGAGCTGTCTTTACTCCCCTTAATGGCCATTTACTACAATCTTTGTATCTAACCTAATGTCTTTGTGAATATTACATAAAACTTTTGGAATATATTATTAAACTTAGCAGATGCTAGTTTCCACCAATCTGAAAGCTATGAATGTTATAACATATAAAACGTACAGAGGAGATTTCCCTACTGTTCTGTAACCTACCTCCTTGATAGCACCACCAATCATTTGGTAAAGGCATTGATTTATGAGTTTCTTTTTTTCCATAACTGTAAAAGTTCATGTAACTTTTTCCACAGTGGAACATGTCATTCAGCGTAACCAAATATTTGACACTCATATTTGACTCACTATAAGATGTTATTCCCTTTGGAGCAATAACTATGTTTTACATCCACACGTGTTAGATGTGTATGTTTGTCAGTTACCTTCATAATTTTAAGTCACTTGTATTTCTGCCCACATGATTTGTTACTGAAAATCATTATGTGATATTCTACACCTCCTTGATTAACTTTTCATCTAATACTTGAAGGTTCTGGTATAAGTCGCTCCCTTTTATTTTTCAAAAAATCAATTTTCAATTTTATTTTATTAAGTACATTTTGTATTTTCATACATGGGATTCAAAGACATACACATATCACTTGTCAGTCTAATGTAGGCTGTGAAACAAATTGTTTCTAGTAATGCAATTCCCATAGTAACTTTTAAAATTATGTCTTTTACCTTTTCCCCCCTTTTCTCAGTCTCAAATACATCTAGGAGTTAAGTCTGAACAGCCACATCCCTGTTTTTGGCAGTGGACTCTCTTGCCCTTTTAATGTAATTGACCTGATGGTAATATCTTATATCTTTTTTCTGGTAAATTTATTTTTAGTTCTGCATACCTAATTTAATATTTTGTTTGCTCTGCATGCCTAATTCAAAATTTTCTTATTAAAGATCTTTAAGATAATTCTTAAATTGCAGTAATAGAGTCAATGTGTAAGGATCTCTGTATTTACTGCCTATTTTAAATCTGTTGATTATTCAAAGTTGCTGGGAAGTTTGTTATCTCAGCAACTCTAGTTAAAAGGGATGTAGCTGCCAGAGACCTTGCCAAAACTATTCCTAGGAATTCTTGGATCAGTTAACTTTGATTTAAAAAAAAAAAACATGTTCTGCCCAATTCTGTGTATAGGACCCATTTTTTACTTGGCCAGAGTAAGAATCAGTGCTCAGGAAATAAATGTTTGAAGTCAGTAATGAGCTATTTATGGGATTCCTTCCCAGAATCACCAATGGGCTGGATTCCCTTTTTACATGTCTCAGAAAACCCTGAACATCTGGGTAGCTCAAGGTAAAGTATGTCACTCCCTTTGTACACCTACTGAATAAGCCACTTACAGTTCTTTCCAACACACAAACGGGATCTGTTCCTCTAAGGTGGTTCCTGATAAGACAACTTAACATTGTAAGTTACACTGACACATTGTAATGACTAATGATATGTCATTATAATGAAACAAAGGACAGTTAGTGGTTGTCTCAATCAGCCATATAGGTCCCAGCTGGTTTTAGGTTGTGTTAGTTTTCATTGTTTGAGCAGTCACATGATGTCTTCTTGCAGTGTGTTTACATCAGCCTCTAGCCATCATACAGTTTACCCTTTTTCTCCCTATGCCTGTTTATCCTACCTCACTGCACGCTATTAAGCTTAGCAATATATTCCAAGAGTTTTACCTAATAGTTATGAAGATGTTAGGTCATATACAGAGACTGAAAGTAAAAGGCTATTAAAGGGTATAAGGTAGCCCAAGATAGGTTTGTATCTTGACCTAAGACATTCCATCTCTCTACAAGTTACAATGTTCTGGGCAACCAATTTCAAATAGTCTGCAGGATTTTTAATACAAATGAACCTTCTCCAGACAACTGCAGTTTCCAATCCTATATAGTAATGTAGCCTTGTTGATAATATTTTAAAGAA